GCGATTATTGCATCCAGCTGCTGCTGATCACAGCGTGAGTATAAGTAGGCAGCAGATGCAGCGCATATTCAGGTTTTCACTGAGGAGCCGAGCCGGTGACCTGGCCGCTCAGCGGTAGAACAGCAGCCGTGGCGACGGGACGTGATGTCTCCGTTCCCTCCTTCAGGGAATGAGGGTTACATACGTAACCGAGACGTTCCCTTTCATTCGGTCACTCTCTACGTCACGTCGGATGAACGACAATTTGGGATCCCTACCAAAGTGCCCCTTCCAGTGTCCTGTGTAAGCCTCCTGCACCCCTTCTTTTTTGGCGTAGGCTGGGGCTTACCACAAGAAGACCAGTTACTGCTGCTATAGCACAACCCACTCAGTAAGACTGGATAACACTGGGAAAACGTACCCGTTCCACTTGGAACCGGAACGTTGCGGAAGCCCATCCTTCCCGCAGGAGGTTTCGGAAGCACATATGAACAACCATCTAGGAGCATATGGAAGATTAGAGGTGATTGTAACCCTCTTGGAAAATAGCAGGAAGTATGCCGGGAAAACACGGGCTCTGAGGCTATACCGTGGACTTTACACATATGGGAACCACTTAGGCCTCTACATATGGAACCCCCCTCTACCGGTTCTCACGGATTCATCGAGTGAGGGCCTGGCGCCGGACGCTTCACCTCGTCTGGCTGCCGTGGGGACGGAGGAGCTCGACAGGGTCTACGATATGGACTCTCTGGAGCGGTTTTAGCAAGCCGACCCTAAGCCGGGGCCTCTCAGTGCTTCTACCCGTTTGAGGTGAGAACACAGGAGGATACCAGCTCCACATGAAGGCTATAAAATCTAGCAAACATGTTGATGGGGTTGCCCAGCCCGCAATTCTACAAACATCTGCCAGCAAGGCGCCACGAGCCAACGCCCAGGAGGATGTAACACTTCTAGTAGAGTGAGTTTGCTACCTGAATGCTGGTCTGAGGTCCTGAAGCTTTGCGTCCTGTCTACGTAAGTATCTCAATGCTCGGACAGGACAAAGCAAAGCTAGGGCTGGGTCTACCTCCTCCGGGGGCAGCGCTTGCAAGCTCACCACCTGATCCTTGAAGGGAGTAGTGGGAACCTTGGGCACATAGCCGGGCCGGGGCCTCAGGATTACCTGGGAGTCAGCCAGCCCAAACTCAAGCACGAATCGTCGACCGAAAATAAATGCATGCAGGTCCCCTACCCTCTTGATAGAGTTCAATACAAGCAGGAGCAGAGTTTTCATTGATAGAAACTTCAGCTTGACTGTCTGCAAAGGCTCAAATGGGCCCTGCTGTAGTGCTCTGAGCACTAGAAACAAGTCCTAAGAGGGTATAGAGGGGGTCGTGGTTGGCAGCAATCGTAGCCACATAGACTTCAAGGGTGGAGGCAGACAGCCTTCGCTCCAACCCCTGCTGCAGAAAGGACAGCACGACTCTGATCGGACATTTCCGGGGGTCTTCTCGGTGAGAAGAACACCACTCGACGAACAGGTTCCACTTCAAGCCGTAAGCATGTCTCGTAGATGGTGCTCTCGCCGAAGTGATGGTGTCAACTACCTCCTGGGGTAGGTCACCTAGAACCTCCTCGTCCCGTCCAGGTGTCACAAGGAGCATAAGTTCCAGGAACCAAGTCCGAGTGGGCAAGTAAGGCGACACGAGCGGGACCTGCTCCTCGTTCTCCCTGATCTTGCAGTGTCTGTGCAAGAAGGCTCACTGGGGGAAACATACTTGCGAAGGCCCCGCGGCCAGCTGTGTGCCGGTGCGTCCGTGCTGAGTGTTCCCTCAGCCAGAGAGTAGAACAACTGGCAGTGAGAGGTTTCTGGAGAGGCAAACAGGTCTACCTGAGCAGCTCCGAAACGACTCCAAATCAGCTGGACCGTCTGGGGATGGTGTCTCCATTCTCCCAAGAGTGCAACTCGTGACAGCTCGTCGGCTACCCGGTTGTGCAGACCAAGAATGTGAATTACCTTAGATGCTTCTGACTCCAAAGGAGGAGGTGGCGGGCGAGTTGCGACGGGAGCATAGACCACCTTGTCGGTTGATGTACGCAATGGTCGCATTGTTGTCCGTGCGGACAGCACGCGCTTGCCTCGTAATCGCCTCTTGAGACGGCTCAAGGCCAGGCATACTGCCAGCAGCTCTAGGCAATTGGTGTGCCAGTGCAGTTGGGGGCCCGTCCAAACCCCCGACACTGCAAGCCCGTCGAACGTGGCCCCCCAGCCGGTGGTGGAGGCATCTGTGTAAACCACGCCTTGCCTGGAGACCTGTTCAAGGGGCACTCCTGCCCGGAGAAACGAAGGGTCTGACCACAGGGTGAAGGTTGGCGGCAGGCCGGTGTGACTCGGACCCGGTGAGTGCCGTGTAGCCACGCCCACCTCAGGACTCAGCCAAGGAGCCAGTGTAAAAGTGGTCTCATATGAAGCAGCCCCAGCGGCGTGACTGCCGCTGCAGCTGCCATATGCCCCAGAAGCCTCTGAAACTGTTTCAGTGGGACCACCATCCTGCACTTGAACACATTCAGGCAGTTCAACACCGACTGAGCACGTCCTTGTATGAGGCGTGCTCGACCGAATCCAACTCCATACCGAGAAGAGATCCTCTGCGCCAAGGAGAGTTTGCTCTTTTCCCAGTTGACCCAAAGGCCCAACCGGCTGAGGTGCGAAAGCACCAAGTCCCTGTGTGCACACAACTGATCCTGAGACTGAGCTAGTATGAGCCAGACGTCGAGGTAGTTGAAAATGCGAATGCCCTGTTCCCCTTCTCTCAGGGGAACAAGGGCTGCCTCCGTAACTTACGTGAAAAAACAAGAGCGACAGCCCGGAGGGTAGGACCTCGTACTGATATACTCGTCCTTCGAACGCGATCCGCAGCAATAGTATGTGGTGCGGAAGGATCGACACATTAAAGTACGCGTCCTTCAGGTCGATCGCTGCAAACCAATCTCGGGGGTAACCGGTGAAGGGCCCAGTTCAAGACACGCAGGTCCAAGATTGGTCGTAACCCACCGCCTTTCTTGAGTATAACAAAGTAGGAGCTGTAAAACCCCATCTCCATATCAGCTGGAGGGACCGGCTCCATCACATCCTTCGCCAGTAGGACTGCAATCTCCGCACGCAAGACAGGAGCATCAGCCGCCTTCACTTATGTGAAGCGGATGCCGCTGAACTTGAAGGGACGCCGGGCTAACTGAATCGCATAGCCGAGTCTGATGGTCCGCAGGAACCAGCGAAACGGTTTGGGTAGCCAGGCACCCAGACACCACACAAGCTGGACCAGCGGGATCACCGACGTACCCGCGGTGGGGCAGCGAGGTGGAACGCAGGGACCTGAAGAGGGGTCTGAGTGTGCAGTGCAACACTTACCTGGTTCCACGCGGGACCTGGAGAGGACGGAAGTGGCACGAGCCACACGTCATGCCGGGGACGACCTTTCTCCGGGGGAGGGAGAGGTGCATTCACCATCCCCCAAAGAGCAGTTCCCTCTCTCTCTGGGTTGCCCGTCCCGAGGCCTCTTGCTCTTCCGTTCACTGCCAGGTTGACGGGGGCCTGGACGGGCGGGGTGGCCTGCCTATGCCCAGCTCCACGGCGCCGCTTGCTTGAGGCCGCTGCGGGTGCGGCACGGGAGTGGGGGTGGACGCACGGGGCCGCCCTCGGCGATGAGCAGGTTGGAATCGCCTCAGTCTGCTCCTGTGCAGCCGAGAACTGCTGGGCCATGTTCTCGAACAGCCAGAGATGGCGCTCCTGGACCACAAGTGTGGACATCGCACGACCCAGAGAACTCGCGGTGACTTTCGTCGTTCGGAATGCGAGATCAGTTGCGGTTCGGAGCTCTTTTAGAACTTCCGGATCGTGACCACCCTCGTGCAGGTCCCTCAGTGCTTTAGCCTGTAGAACCTGCAGTAACGCCGTAGCGTGTAAGGTGGAGGCAGCTTCTCCACAGGTCGTATATGCATCGCCGTACAGACCAGACGAGTACCTACAGACCCAGGACACAACTGCCAACACAAACAGGGGGTGGTGCAGCCTGATGTGTGCAACCCACTCAACACTGGAAACCACCACTGCTGAAGCGCTGTACCGCCAGTGGTGGAAAGAGTACTGAAAAAATATACAAGTAAAAGTACCATTACCTTCCAAAAAATGTAGTGCGAGTAGAGTAAAAGTACTTGTCCAAAAAAACTACTTTGAGTACTGAGCTGTGGATACTACCCCCTCATAATAAACCCTGTACACTGCAATTTGTATATTTTAAAAACGTTGTACATTCTGTAATTCACATTATCTTGCTTCTCATAAAGAATGAAGAATATCCTTCATCCAGCAGTTTTAATTTTGACTGCCAACTCTTTAAAATACATTAAAACAGCACGGAAACAGTATTCAGTTGAAGAAAAGATGAAAGTTATTCTCAGTACAATCATCCCCATTTAAACCATAAAGTTTGAAAAAATAGATATAAAATCATGTGTAAGGCCACTGAAACAGCATATGCTGTTGCACATAAAATATTAATGTTTAGAACAGTGCAAATACAAACACCATTAGAAACTCATAGTTCAGCATCACACACCATGATATGGGTTAAAATGAGAGCCCATTTCTCTCCAAAAC